ACAGAGGTTGTTAAAAAGGAAGAAAAAAGCAGTAGCAGCAGTTGAGAAAAAGAACCAGATAGTAAAGAAAAAAAAATAAAAAGGGAGCTAGAAATGATAGAAAGCAAGAGAGAGAAAGGCAAGGAAGAAAGCATAAACAAACAAAACAGTGAAAGGAAAAACACCAAGGGCAAGGTGCCTTACCCAGATAGGAGAAAATTTTGGGGTCTTCTCCAGCCAAGGACCTCGCATTGTTAGTGAGTAAGTGATGAGCCAGTGACAACCCTAGACGGACTTCCTGTAAAGCTATGTGTTGGATGTTCTGGGCACCCAGTTTGGAAGTGGTTGGTACAGACCCCACCCCAAAGCCATTGGAGAATCAGGGTTTTTCTGTCTCAGAGGACAACTGAAGCTGAGGTTCAGCTAGTCCAGGGCCGACCAGAACCAGCTCTCTGCAGGTCTGGAAGATGCTACGCTCGATTCCAGGTGCCATGGTTGGTGCTGCTACCTCCCCACATACTTTGATGAGACTTCAACAGCCCACAAAGCAGGAAACTCCCTGTGAGTGTATGTAGGTGAGGGCCCGCCACACGTGTGGTCACCAGGATAATGTTGGGCACAAGAAAAAAAATGTAGCCTCTCTCTCCACCAAAAGCAGTATACTTGTGCACCACCTACTGCCCACTTTGCTTCGTAGTCACCCGTGAAAGTTCAAGATGGCCACACTATGCCTGGCTGGCTGGCACAGATCACCAGTCTCTCCTTATTTGTCGTGTCTGCTCTGATGTTTCTCCTTGTAAACATTAGTCTACTTTTCTGTCCCTTCATCTGAAGCTCAGAGTTCCAGGACTGTCATCTGCATCTGTTTCATTTGGCTTTCTGTATTTTTGTTGTAGAGGGTCCATATGGGCTTTCTGTCTGGTCTGCCATCTTGCCGCCTCTCCTGCGCCCTCTTTCTTAGCTAGATATTTGGGCTTCTTGCAATGTTTGGCTATTATGAATAAAAACTGCTGTGAAAGCTATTATTTTTTAAACTTATATTTGACTTTGTTATGCAGTTTCTAAACAATATCTTCATTGATTCTCATCTGCTTTTCCAAAGTTTGCTCAATCACATTAGTGATGAGGGTTTTTTTTTTTCCTCCTTATGAAGGCTTTTATCCACATTTGTAGCTGTTTTTTTCCGCCACTTTGAAGAGGCTTGATTGCTTGGGGGAAGATATGGGTGTGCTTAAAGTTGCAAGTGTTAATGAGTGAATAACAAAACATTTTTCTTTTCAGATAGAGTGATGCATAATAAAAGAAAACTTCAGAAGCTTTCCAAGCTTCTTGAATTATAATTGAGTAGACCATTGCTTAGCTCATAGTAGATTTTGAAAAAATATATATGAATAAACGTGTCAAGTTATTTCAAAGACTGAATCAACACACATGTAACTTGATTGGACAAAAAGTATCAGTAGGTTAAGAAAATAGTAATAATAGGAGAAACATGATGAAAACCATAGGAATGCAATTTAGGAGTTCTTCTGTTTCCATTTGATAAGTTTGCTTTGGGGTTAGACTAAACTACATTTTCCTAGCCTTAGCTTCTGTGTCTAAAAATATTTCTTATGCCAGTAAAAATTTACTTCTCCTAAACAAGTATATATCTCAATTCACTAGTTCTCAAAGTTCAACATAGGTCACAGTTAACTTGGAGAACTTGTTGAATCAGACATTACCTGACCTCAGCTGCAGATTCTGTTTTTCGTAGGTTTGGGGTGGGACCTGAGAGCTTGCATTTCTCACAGATTCTGGTGATGCTGATGCTTTTGTTGTGGGAACCACACTCTAAGAATCACTGGTGAAGATCATTTGGATTTCTCCTTCCTAATATTGCCAATAAGTTATTGGTAAAATTGTTTTCTCCTAAATTGGATGGAAACCTTTTCTAACTTTTTTGAAGATAAAATTTTTAAATCAGAACTTTATGAAATAAAAACAACATTGTGTCCAATCCTTATGACCATTTTACTTGAGCTCAAGCCTCATTTTTTCATTTAGTAATTATTTTTTCAAGAACTATTTATTGGACTTCTGTTATGTGTTGTCGTTAAGTGTGTTGTTGAGTCAGTTTCAACTCATAGTGATCCTGTATAGGATTTCTGAGGCTTCAGATCTTAGAGGGAGTGGAAAACCTCATCTTTCTCCCATGGACTGGTGGGCTCAAAACACCAATCTTGTGGTTTGCATCCAGTGCTTATTTTACAGAGCCACCATGCTCCTCTGTTATGTGTTGTTGTTGCTAAGTGTGTCAAGTCAGTTCCAACTCATAGCAACCATGTATTGATTTCAAAGAAGCAGCTGGTGGGTTTGAACCACTGATCTTGTGTTTAGCAGTCCGGTGCTTATACTAAGGCACTGAGAATACAAAAACTAATAGAAACAGTGATAATTTTTGAACTCATTGAAGTTTATAATTCCTTAGGCATACTTCTTTTTATTAAAAAAGTTTTTATTGTGAATTGAGTGATAGATTGCATGGGAGAACATCAACTTTACATTTATCCTTTCGTATTTCGTTTCATTGCAATGATTACAATCACCTCCATGCATCATCAAACAACCAAGGAGTACACCCTGCAAGCCTGCCCCCCGGTCGTCAGTACACAGCCCCTCTCCTTCCCTAAGTCCAGAGTCCCCAGCCACTCCATCTCTCCATGTCATCATCTCTGCCTCATCTCTGGCATAACTGCTTCTCTGGATAGGGTCCCGCACTCTGCTCTTCTCCCTTGATGGTCCCAGGGTCCTCTTCCCCTGGACTGAAAAATCAACCACTCCCCTCCATTTGTTACAAAACGTCTACCTTTACATTTGCAGCACTCACAGTCAGTCCTGATAGCCATTATTCACTATTAAACCACAAGAGTCTTATCCCCATCTCCTTTCACCAACCCTGTCCAGACAGGTTGGAAACCACTCAGTAGAGAGTCTACCTTCCCCCGTGCCCTCTGGAACTAGGCTTCCTCTTGAAAGCTTGCAAACAAGTTACTTGTTGCCTTCATAGCCCCCCAGTTTTGGGTAGCCAATGTCTAAGTTGTCCATCCTTGTCATCCCTGTGTACTGAGAGGGTTGGAATGATCCTCGCTGTAAAGATTTGTTTCCTCTTTTGAGCTACTACATCCATAAGTATAGGTCAAGTTCATCAAATTATAGCAGATTACTCTTTTTATCCTCTTCTTTCTTGCTCTAGTCAAGTTCTGATCATCCAGCCATTGAAACCAGGTCAAGTGGGTACTGTTTGCAAGTAGGAGTGTTCTTCTGCATCTCCCCTCACTTCATATCAGCTGGACGCTTTACTCTCCACTCTAGTTCCTCTGTGGCCATGTCCCTGTTTCTGGGCCCAGGAGTCCCCAGGTCTTGCCATACTGCTGGTCAACCAGGTTTCAACCCAGGTTGACAGGGAGTCTATTGAACGTGGTTGGACTTAGCTCATAATTTCATTGCTGTTTTTCCCCTACTTCCAATTATCGGTAGACCAACGTGGTCACCAGCAAGACCACAAGGCATACTTCCTATTAAAGGGAGGAGACAAAAATACCCCTTATTTTAGTAATTCTGACAATCTAGAAAATCATTTCTAAAATTATTTTAGCTAAAAAGGGTGCCCTTTAGATAAATGTAGCTATAATTAGCAGTATTTTATGTTTTCTTCTTAAGGTTTGAGCAAGAATTAAATGTTTAAAATGTACTGTTAACCTTGTCAGGATAGAAATATTACGGTGTAAAAAACCCACCCAAGATGTGCTATCAATAATGATTCTACTAGTAATGTTCAAACTGAGAGACTAGTTAAGCACCATTCAGAAAATCATGGTTGTTTGGCATATCTGGTTTGATCATAATTAAATTTATTTTTATATTACCTAGTGCCATTTTTCTTTCCTGGGCAAAATCTTAACTGATGTTAAGAGTCTGTAGTAACATTACTGATATGATTGGATACAGTGTTTGAGTGGGGTTATCTGTAAACTAATTAAACTTCTACCCAAAAGCTATGATAATGTGATTGAGTCAGGTTTATTTGTTTGAGTGGTTTTATCAAGGTTAGTTGATTTCTTAGTTCCTCTAGTGTTGTGGGTAGTATTTGGAGATGTAGGATAAGCACTAAACAGCTAACTTGCAAGGTTGGCAGTTTTAACCCTCCAGCCACTCATTGGAAACTCTATACAGGGACATTATGAGTCAGAGCCAACTTGACAGCACTTTACAACATTGTCCCTTATCTGTAACACTGGTTGTGTAGTGGGTTATGCATTGGGCTGCCAGAATCCACCAGCTGCTCTGCAGGAGAAAGATGAGGCTTCCTGCTCCTGTAAAGGTTTATAGCCTCAGAAACCCTATACAGGGTGGCTATGAAATGGAATGAACTCAGTGGCACACCATCACCATCATTGTCCCTTATGAAGCAGAAACAAGACATATATCTAGTTAATTAAATTGTTAAAAGTGTTGGCATAATGAAAGAAGCGAAATATTTCGGGTTTGTATCTAGTATTGCAAATGTTAGCTGTTTTTCCACTTTTTCCTACTTGAATGGATATACACACATATAATCGAAAAGAAATCTTTCCTTTTGATAGTTTGATTTGGCATTTTCTAGTTTAAGGGGAAAAAAGTACTTTTGTGATGAGAGGCAATACTATTAATTAGTTGAATCTACCAAGGAACTTTACAGCTCAGCTTGCAAAACCAAAAAATGATCTTGAGGGATAATTTGAAATTTCGGAAGTAGTCATTATTTATTCTGGTCCGTAAAACAGTATGTACTGAAGTAGGTAGAAACTGAAGTGAAATTTATAAATGACTTATACTTCATTTAAAAAGAAAAACTGGTGTTTTGGTTTGTTGGTTTTGAGAATGGGTTTGACTTATGTGTTTGGTTTAAATGTTAGTCAGTTTTGCCTTGGGTTAAGTGTACTGCAGGAAAAAAAAGTTGAACTAACTGAACAATGTATTTTAATACTTTGGAATTTCAGAGATGCTGCCTATGGAAGCTGTACTTTCTACATTACTCTTCTCGACTGTTTTCATGCAGTGAAGAAGGTAGGTGACTTATAGAGTATGTGTTGGAGAAGTAAGTATAGCCCAAGGAAACCTAGGCCTTCTTTCTCAAAGATCTGTGTATTAGGATCTCTTCTGGAAGTATATGATATGTTAGTACTGTACCAAACCAGAAAACAGTTTACTCCATATCTCTGAGTGCTTTTTTGCATGAGTGGGCAAGAAGGGGGAAGGGTAAACCAATTAAAAAGGAGGAAGGATGAGCATCAGTTAAATGTGTTGAGGCCCTGAATCCAGAGTTGATTTTGAGCATATTGTGACTTTTAAAGAAAAGTAAAATGATTGTTGGTTTTTAGTCTTGGATTTATATAAGTTATGGGTCAGTTTTCCACAGATACTTACAACAGACACTTTAAAGGAAAACCTCATTTCCGCCTTCTAGCTGTTAAACAAATTCTAGGTGGAGAGAAGAATTTGAAAAGCCCATAAGGTTTTTTTTTTTTACAAGGTTTTATGTACAAGTAGGTAGATTGCTACTGCTTTCTTGAAACACTTTAAAAATAACTCCCGTGTATTACAATTTGCAAGATGTCCTGGTGGCACAGTGCGATAAAGCATCAAAACCTACCAGCTGCTCTGTGGGGCTGAAATGTGGTAGTCTACTTCTAGAAAAAGGTGCAGCCCTGAAAACATATGGGGCAGTTGACTCTACTACTCTGTCCTGTTGGATCAGCATTTGTTTGGTTTTGTGTTACAACCAGGGCTGCTGTCTTGACTCTCTTGCACCCCTTTCACATCACCTTCTGAAGAAAAGGGTCCCATGCAATTTGCAATGCAGATGGCCATGTTTATAACACTCACTCAGATATTGTTTTTGAATGTTAGGGTGGTGGTGGTGTGCCGTTGAGTTGGTTGTTGTTGTTGTTGTTGTTAAGTGCCGTGGAGTTGGTTCTGACTCATAGCGACCCTGCACAGGGTATCCAAGGCTGTAAATCTTTACGGGAGCAGAACACCTCTTTCTCCCGCGGAACCGCTGGTAGTTTCGAACTGCTGACCTTGTGGTTCACAGCCCGATTCATAACCACTACGCTACCAGAGCTCCAACTTATACGACCCCGTTATAGGGTTTCCAAGGCTGTAAATCATTACAGGAGCAGAAAACCCCATCTTTCTCCCGCAGAACGAATTGTGGATTCAAACTGCTAATTTGTGGTTGACAACCCAAAGTGTAACCCACTTCGCTACCAGGGCTTCTTTGAATGTTGGGGTAGCACAAGAAATTCAAGTTGTAAATCAATAGCCACTGGATCAAATAAACCCTCACCGATATCTCAAGTTTATGTAATTTTTTTTTTCCTCCCAGAGGTAAAAGGAACACAAATTTATCTTCTCAAATAATAAAACATGGTGACTTTCTGAGAAATTTGATAGAAATTTTGTCTTAAAATGAGAGGACTAACTGGTAAATGAATTCAGAGATTAATTAGCATGCCATATGTGGCAATGGAGTTTGGGAGTTGTTTTTTTTTTTTTTTTTTAATTTGAGTCCAGTAATTATGAGGTAATTGTCCTAAGCCCTGAAGTGACTCAATCAGGTCTTAGTTTAGGCAGGTAATAGACAGAATTGAACACCTAGAGACAAGAGGAACAGTGGGTGTAAATGGCACCTTCCAATTGCAACTGCAGTCCCAGCCAGATGGACCTCAGCGAACTTCTAATGTTAGCAGGTAAATTTCCAAGGTCTCCCTCTCTCTACTTCACCACCTTTACAAAAAAAGAAAAGAGAAATGAAGGGACATGGATGTGATCTACTCTAACAGTTCCTGTCAGTGTTTAGTGCTCATTGTTATGTCTTGGCTTACCTTGTGTCAGATATTGCATCTAACGTCCAAGTAGCTAGTATTGAAGGAGCAGAGCCCTGGTGGTATTGTGGGATCAGCATTAGGCGCAACTAACTGTAAAGTCCAGTCACTCTGGAAGACAAGGCTATCTGCTTCTGTAGAGATTGACTGTGTCAGAAATCCTGTGTAGGGTGTTATGCGTCAGAATTGACTTGATGGCAGTAAATTTACCTTTTTTTTGAGTATAGGTCAAAAATGGTTTTTTTCACACTATAGTTGATTGGTTATGTGCAAAGGAGTCGGTTCCGACTCATAGCTTCCCTGTATAAGGTTTCTGCGGCTGTAAAGCTTTACAGGAGCAGAAAGCCCCATCTTTTATCCTGTGGAACAGCTGGTAGTTTCAAACTGCTGAGTTTGAAGTTAGCAGCCCTACTTGTAACCACTACGCTATCAGAGCTCCTTTTTTCACACTATACTTAGCTTTATTAAAGGGTCAGCAGCTTCTGATTTTTTGTTTCCACATTATTACATGTGAATGCTTTTGAATATTAATGCATTTGTGAAATATTTATGTAATTTTGCCTTAATGGGATCTCCTTATGAAATTCAAAGGAAAATAGGAATTGCTTGTGAAACATCACTAGTCCAAGTATCATAAAATATATTGAACATCTCTGAATACAAAGAAATAAAATTCATTACTGATTTGATTTAGGAATTAATTGTTGTCAAGTCAGTTGTGACACATGACAACCTGGTATAGAGTTTCCGAGGAGTGGCTGGTGTTTTTGAACTGCAGCACCACACCAGGACTCCATTATCTTACAACGCCACACCAGGACTCTGTTGTTGTTAAGTGCCATTGAGTAGGTTCCGACTCATAGCGACCCTGTGTAGGGTTTCCGAGGAGCGACTAGTGAGCTTGAACTGTTTAACTTACAGTTCAGACTAACTTTGCAGCCCAGCATATTAACTCACAATGCTATAACAGAACTCCAGGACACCATTGTTGTTGTTGTTAGGTGCCATCAAGTCCGTATCGACCCATAGCAACCCTGCATAGAGTTTCCAAGGAGCAGCTGGTGAGCTTGAACCACCGACCTTGCATTTCAAACGGCTTTGCAGTCTGGCACATTAACCCACAGTGCCACACCAGGACTCCAGGACACCATTAGAGATTAAATAATTAAACCTGAAATGAAGGTGTTCTGCCCTTCTTCTTTTACATTCATACATCAGTACTTTAAATTGGCTAATCAGAACCATCCATTTTGAATCAAAAGTGCCTGTTGTCCAAGAATTCTCTTTATTTATTTTGGTCAAGGATTCTTGCAATAGAAAATCTAGCTCAGTGGTCAGATAGTGAGAACATGTGTCAGAGGCTCTCAGCTCTCAGCTCGTCCTTGTCTCAGAAAATAGAGGTTCTGCTTATTTGATTTAGCATGATTTTCCTTCCACAACTGAGAGTGGGGCTAAAGGATGACAGAGAAGTTGCCTATCATTTTTATGGAAAGAATTGTTTTTTCCCTCAAATATTTCAGTTTTAGTGTTAATCCCTGGGCTGACTTTAATATGTGTTGTTGTTGTTATGTGTTGTCAAGATACTTCTGACTTATAGCAATAGGGCTTCCAAGAGTTTCTGGTGGGTTTGAACTGCTGACCTTGCGGTTAGCAGTTCCGTGCTTATCCAATAGTGAATATGTTGTTGTTGTTAAGTGCCAGCAAGTTGATTTTGACTCAGAGACCCTATATAAGGGCTCCCGAGGAGTGGTTGGTGGGTTTCAGCTGCTAGTCTTGTTATTAGTCCAGTGCTTTCTATTAATTCAAGACTAACTTCAAAAGAAATTTTAAAAGAGGATATTCATAAAATGTGGGATTGTTTGAGATAAATGAGCACATGGTTTCTTCCTCTTCATTCTTTGTTTAGAGATCACTGGACTGTACATTGTATTTCAAGGCTAAATTTGAAATGCAGTTTCAAATTTCTGAATGGTATTAATCTGCTTAGTAGTAGCATTAGTCTTAAGATATGACTATATAACTATATAGGATGACTGATGAAATAAAAATAGAAAATCAAGTATCATTAAGATAAATATTTTTGTAACTCATTTTCTAGGTAATGGAAATATTTTAAATGTTTGGCTCATTTTATTTGAAAACTGTTAAATGAAAAATAATCTAAATATAAGAGTACTTTTCTGGGTTGCCTCCTAATGTTAGTATTATGAAACTGGATCTTAAATTGCTCCTTTATTTGCATCTTTGTTTAAAAGGTTTCTTTTGGATTTTAGGCAATGCAGTATGGCTTCCTTAATTTCAACTCATTTCACCTTGATGAATATGAATACTATGAAGTAAGTTTTCATGGATACTGTTTTTAATATTTTCAGTTATTTGCTTTGCTTACAGAAGTGGTAATTAAAAAAAAAAAAATTGTGTACTTTAGACATAGAAAATAGAAGTCAAAGTTTTTATTTATCTCAACACTACCCATTTCTCCAAGCCCATTTCTTAGTAGGGCTTTTGTATTGAATATATGTATATCTTTTCAGAGTGAATGAGATTTTTCTAAAATTAGTTTAAATATTTTTGTAGTACTGATGAGTTTTATACAATGATTAAAGAACCCTGATGACGTGGTGGGTTAGGCACTGGTCAGCAGTTCAAACTCACCAGCTGATCGAAGGTAGAAAGCTGAGGCTGTCTGTAGTTTGAGACCCTGTAGAGGAGTGCTGTAAGTCAAAGTTGACTCGATAACAGTAGATTGGGTTTTTATACAATGATTAGATGAGCTGTTTGTAAACCCTTAGCACCAATGAGAGCTGGCTTAGTAATTAGTACCTATGCCATCATTTCTGGAAAAAATTCCATTTTATCATAACTTTTTAAATGTTAAGTTAGGATACTGTGATTGCAAGTTAAAGTGTCTCAAAAAAAATGACATAAGTGAAAAAAAAAAACACATTAGTTTACATAAATGAAAAGTCCAGGAAGCAGGCGTGACTTCAAGCATGACCAAATTCAGGTGCCCAAACAATTAGCAGTTGGACTAAGCTAGCTTCGTTCTCAGATCCACTTTCTCTAATAGTAACAAAGATGGCCAGCCACCATCAGCTTTCATCTAACAGTTTGGCAAACTTATCAGAAAGAGAGCACTCAGAACCTGCAGTAGATCTAAGGATACCTATGATTGGCCAGGCATAGATCAGGTGCATGTCTCTGTATCAGCCTGCAACCTATCTATACCAGTACTCTGGCCAGACCTAATTTTCTGGCCATCCCAGGAGCTGGTCCTGGAATCAACTCTACTAAACCACACAGACTAAAAAGAGGCAGAAGAAACTCCAAGGCAGGCAGAACAAGTGTCCTGTACATTTAAATCTTTAACCCCTGATCCCCGACCCCCACCATAGAAAGACTAATGCTACTGCACTTATACCACCCTACCCTAGTATAGTTCAATAATGAGTGAGATGCTATAATAAAAGTCTTTTTAAGTAAAAATATTTGTAGTTTGCTACATTATCTTAAACAGTCGATACTGTGTAGTTCTCTTGAGCCTAATACTCTTTCTAATAGTGGAAGGATTACCCAGGAAACTTGAATCATTATCTGGAATCTTTAGATAACTTTTTTCATAATCAATTTCTAAATTAATTGCTATGTTAAACTAAGTTGATAGTTTTGAACAATTATTATTGTAATGTACTAAGTATTGTTGTTAAGTGCCATCCAGTCAGTTCCGACTCTTAGTGACCCTGTATCAGGTTTCCAAGGGAACAAACTTGAACCAGCGACCTTGCGGTTCAAACTGACCTTGCAGTCCAGTGCATTAACCTACAGCACCACACCAGTACTAAGTATGTGAAACCATTATATGGCTCATTAGGACCAAACAAATCTTATCTTCACTGCTATGAAACAGTAGTCTGTTTCTAACTGCCATCTTCAAGTACTATTGACTTTTTTTGTGTGTATGCTTGACCTTATTAAACATTTAAAATAAATCACACTTTTTAGGTAAGCAAAATTGCTAAGAACAATAAGTTAGTGTTATTTTAATATAGTACAATGATGCTTTGAGTGTTATTAAGGAATAATATAGGCATTACTTAGCTCCTTCCAATACTGGAGAGATTGGGGATGAGGGGTAGGGCATGCACACACATTTTCTTTGCCATCAGTGAAACTTCAAGACACAGGCAACAGTTTAGGCCAGAAATAATAAACTGACTACTGTTTATGATAAGTAGACCACGGACCAGTTATGTTGATAAATACATTAAGTAATCAGTTCGATGTGTTTACATGTTTTGAATGAGTCTAAAATTATTGCTGTTAGGATTTTAGTTCATACATACATAGGTTTATTCTAAACAAAGTATATTTAAGCATGTCTCTGCAATTAATGGCTGACTGCAGACAAGTTCTCTTTATACTGTCTCATTAGGGTGTTTTTGTTTTGTTTTTTATGGCATAGAAAAAAGTGATTTTGAGGTCAGGACTAACACCAAATGTTTAGCAAATCTCAAATCACTGAAGCACTTTGCAACATGTTTATGGGACTGCTGCCCCGTATAAAACACTAGTTTTTAAATGGATCAGCACTTTAAGGAAAGTTAGGGAGACATCAAAGATGAGTCAGAGAAGGACGACCATCAGCCTAGATGAATGAAGAAACTGAAGTGGTAGAAGAAAGCCATAGAATTACACTGATATGAAACTGAAATTGGGCTCTCACATTGTTGAACATTTTCATTTCAAAGTGCGTATGTTAGCCTCAGCAAGTTTTCAGCTCAGTGGGTGCCAAAAGCTCATTAAGATCAGCTGCTAGTTCAAAGAACTGGTCTTTCCATAAATCTTTTAGCAAGATTGAGTCTAATAAAGACAATTTTATGGAACAAATGGTAGCTAGAGACGAATCTTGTATTTACCCATGTGATTCAGAGAGCAAGATTCACTCAAAATGGTGACTGCTGAGGGGAAGAGCTAGACCAGTTAAATTCAAAGCAGAGAGCTCAGCTCAGAAATTTTCTGATGACTACTTTTTGAAGTTCCAAAGGGGTAATCTTGATAGATTTTTCTCAAAGGATGACCACAGGGTTTTATTATGAAGAAGCTTTAAGAAAGTCAAAACCTGCATTGGTTAGAAAAAGACCAGAAAAGTTGGGCCAAGGAATTATTTTCCATCTTGATAATGTATCTGCTTAGTCTTCAAGGATAACAATGACTGTCCTATGAGAATTTCATTGGGAAACCTAACCCGATCCATCCTTTGTTGTTGTTGTTAAGTACTGTGGAGTCGGTTCCGAATCATAGTGACCCTGTACAGGTTTTCCGAGGCTGTAAATCTTTATGGGAGCAGAAAGCCTCATCTTTCTCCTGCGGAACCACTGGTGCTTTCAAACTGCTGACCTTGAGGTTGGCAGCCTGACTAGTAGCCACTACGCTACCAGAGCTTCCTTTACAGTCCTAATGTTGCCCCTTCAGACTTCTTTTTGTTCTCCAAACTCAACATTTAAAAGGAAAACAAATTGAGTTCCACAAGAATGCCACAACTTCGTTTTGTAATGGCATAAATCAGAGTGAAGATCTCTTCAGGTAAGGATTAGAGAAATAGATGGCAATACCACTTTCTAGAAGAGTTTTGACCTAGATGGGGGTTATGTCGAGAAACAGTAGTATCTCATATTGATATATTAGTAAGTGTCTGAAATTGTAACAGTACTTTCTGACTTACCCCTTATATTTCATTGATTCCATGATGTCCATGTTTTTCATGTGTTTTCTGAATTCAGGGTGCTTCTTATACTCTATGATGTCTGCAGTCCAGTGAAATCTGGTGGTTGCCAACATCCTAAAGCACAGATTTCTGGTTTAATTTTGAAATAAGAACCTTTGGCAACACTTTTCCTTATTACTTCTTGGACCTTTTAGTGTGGAACACAAACACACCAATTTCCCATGTTTGATAAATATGTCACGTAAACTTATTTTGTATACCTACCTGACCCCTGTCCAAGCAACTGTTGGTTTATTTCTTATCCATTCTCACATATAGAGAACCCCGTTGCAATACTTTCTTGTTTATACTTACTAGCTCTTGCTTATTCCACAATCAAGAGACTCCTATTTTTAGCTTACAAGTCTTTGTGGATCCCTTACTTTATTAGATACATATCTTTTGTTAAATTTGAACTTTACTTATGTTACAACTGTAATAATATCTCAAGCTGAAGGGCTTAAAAGCAGGAAGTAGCATATTTTAATATCCCTGCTTATTTATAGAGACATACTGTGCACTTGGGGTCTTGGTGAGCTTTGTGAAAATTTTTGATTGACTTACTTATTAAATAGTAGCAAAATGATGGAAAGATAGCACTGTAAAAACATAAGTAAGTATATATTGAGAATTCATGTTTTCTCCTTTGTTCAAGGACTCACAGTTACTCATATTGGAAACCAGTTAGTTTCCATTGAAGATAGAGCAGTTCCCAGGTCCTTCATACTAAGATTAAAAAAAAAAATTTAATTGTTAATTGACACCAACTATAATGAGAACTTTCAAATAGGCTAGCCAAAGTACTTAGTGTAAGCAGCAATCAGCTCTGTTTTCTACAGGCTGACTGACCACTTTGGTAAGGTGATCAGACCAGGGGAAGTTAACTGTTCCCTAGGAATATTCATAATAGGCTGAATGTTTGTCTGCTATCTCATGGTCATTCAGAAACGGATTTTGTACCTGCCAGGACTCTCTTTGTTAGGGGGTGGGGCGACTGGGATAGGAGTTAAAGTCTAAATATGAATTTTTTCTGCCTTATTTTGCAGAAAGCAGAAAATGGAGATTTAAATTGGATAATACCAGATCAATTTATTGCCTTCTGTGGACCTCATACAAGAACCAGGCTTGAAAGTGGTATGCCAAAACATGAAATGTGGAACCAGTATGTTTTTGCTGTCAAAAGTGTCCATCCTCCTCGTTCCTTTGAAAGAGAACAAAGAGCTAAACTAATCTTCAAGTCTTCACTGTCTAAGTATACTCGATCACTTGAATATATCCTTCTATACTATTTTTAACATTTATTTTGTTTTTTATTATTACATCAGGCTGCTATTCAGTTCCCAATCCAGATGCTATTTTTACCCAGTTTCCGTTGAAACTTTTATCTGTTGTTTTCTTTCTTCATTTTACAAGATCTGGTGCATTTCTTTATGTAGGTTACCACCAACATTCGCCTGAAGCTTATATTCCATACTTTAAGAATCACAATGTTACTACCATTATTCGCCTGAACAAAAGGATGTATGACGCCAAACGCTTTACTGATGCTGGTTTCGATCACCATGATCTTTTCTTTGCGGATGGCAGCACCCCTACTGATGCCATTGTCAAAGAATTTCTGGATATTTGTGAAAATGCTGAGGGGGCCATTGCGGTGCATTGTAAAGGTATGTGTTTGAAAGTGGTTCAAGAATGGCACATGTCTGTGCATTCATGTGAGAACATGCCATTCTTATTTAAGTTATGTGTCAGAAGGTGTGACGCTGCCTTTATTTTAAAAGAATACTTTTTAAATCCTCACTTCTTATGAAAAGAATAATAACTGGAATAATATTCATAGGTAGCCCTACAAAGGCTTATTACATTGGAATGCATTCATTCATGCAACCAGTCATCCTTTAGGATGCCTACAGAATGATAGATCTAGGGTGCAGAGGGGCCCTCATGGCATAGTGGTTAAGCGATTGGCAAGTAACACAAAGTCTGTGGACCCACCTAGCAGCAGCTCTGCAGGAGTATGCTTCTTTAAAGACTGACAGCCTTGGGATCCCTATGGTGCAGTTTTCCACTGTCCTGCAGTGTCTCCAGGAATCCAGATCACCTGATAGCTGTGGTTTAGGTGCATCAGTAGTGGTTACGAATCGGGCTGCGAACCTTAAGGTCAGCAGTTCGAAACTACCAGCTGCTCCGCGGGAGAAAGATGAGGCTTTCTACTCCCGTAAAGATTTACACCCTCGGAAACCCTGTACAGGGTTGCTATGGGTCGGAACCGACTCGACGGCACTTAACAACAACAGGTTCATCAGTGAGCAGAGTAGACTCCAAGATCTTTCTGTGTGGAGATCACTGCCTCTCTCAGGTTGCTTGTTTATAGTAGCCACAGCAGTGCCTTGTGCTTACTAATAATATTTGATGAGTGAATGAATGACTATGTAAAATTACATTGTACTAGTATGGATGTACCAGAATTTATTCTATTCTCCTTGTTATGAAAGATTCAGCGTAAGTTTTTTTTAAAAAAAAATTTTTTTTTTATAATAAGCAATGAACTTCTTCTTGACAACAGAACTTCCAAATTTTATCTTATTCATGACACAGTCCCCTTTTGAAATCTCCTGAATTAAAACTTAGTTCTAAAGTGTCCAGTTGGCCTCTATCTTACGCTTTCTGTGACTTCAAAATTATTTTCCATAATTCCTTCTTCTTGTTGTTATGTGCCATGGAGTTGGTTCCGACTCATAGCAACCCTGTACAGGGTTTCCGAGGCTGTAAGTCTTTACGGGAGCAGAAAGCCTCATTTTTCTCCTACGAAACAGCTGGTAGTTTTGAACTGCTAACCCTGAGGCTAGCAGCCCGATTTGTAATATTGTGATCCTCTTTGTTAAGAGATTGAGTTCCTGCTCCTATTTTGTACTTTGCACTATTGGTGGTGGTTTGTGATTTGCACTGATCATGATCACTGATCTCTCTCCTTAAGGTATTTATAAAATGGATGATAAGTCACACAAGAAAGGTGTGAATGGGTTCTTTGGAATTTAAAAAACAAGAGTAAAAAATTGTACCTGAACAGTTAGAATAGGCATTGCTGATGTAGCATATGATTTCAATAAGCAAAATATAGAAAAGAACATTCTAGGCTGAGATAATGAAGGGTTAGAGTTTATTAGAAGTGAGTGGTTCTATGTCCCTATAGATAGGTGGCTTTCAGCCAGGGCGCTTTTGTCTCCCAGGGGAATTTTGGTACCATCTGGAGATATTTTGGTTACACCTAGGGGAAGATACTATAGGTACCTAGAGGGTAGAAGCCAGGGTTGCTGCTAAGCATCCTATGATGTACACACCCACAACAGCCAGAAATGTCAGTAGGACCACTGTTGAGGAATGCTGCAGCAGACTAGTGACTTATTAAAAACCTGAAGAGGATTTGATACGATTTAGGTGCTGTGGGCTACTGTGTCAGACTACAAAGAGGTTTGAACTGCAAGGTCAGTGGTTCAAGCTTACCAGCTGCTCCTTGAAAACCCTATACTGGGTCACTGTGGGTCAGAATTGACTCAACGGCACTTAAGAACACAGCAACAACAATCTTATTTTGAGGAGAAAACTTATGACAGTAGAGTTTGGACTGGGGAGTAAACAGTGGTATTAGGAGGCAGGAATAATAATCTACATAAGAAGAAAGGGGGACATCAGCAATGCTATTGTAAAAGTATGTCAAAGAACAGTTATGAAAGTAGAGTTGAGAAAACTGTTGGATGAGGAGTAAGTGCAAGATCTTCAAGCCTGAGTTTCTGGAAAGATGGTGCTAACCATTAGGAGAAAACACTGCATTCTTTCAGAATCGTTTTCAGAATAGCTCATCTCGATTTGGGCTACACAAAATCACTCGGGGGATGTGAAAATCCCTGTCCCCAGGCTGTAATCCATATAAATTAAATTAGGATTCTGGAGGTGAGACCAGTGATTTTTAAATTCCCAGATAATTCCAGTGTGTAACAAGCTTGAGAACACTGCTGCAGGAGGGAGAGTAAAAAAAAACCTTCCTGCCTAACAAAATTCTGTAGTATGTATATATGAAGTCAGGTTTCACTGGTTTCTTTCTTAGCTGGTCTTGGGAGAACTGGCACTCTGATCGCCTGCTACATCATGAAGCATTACAGAATGTCAGCTGCTGAGACCATTGCTTGGATCAGAATCTGTCGACCTGGCTCAGTGATTGGACCACAGCAGCAATTTTTGGTGATGTAAGCCAATGAAAGCTTTTGTAATTCCTCAGAGAACAAGTGGGTCTCGAAGTTAAATGGATTAAGAAGTAGAAGTCGAATTTACTTCTGATGGGAAGTAAAGTGTTTCTTAGTCTCCAGTAACAAGAGGTAGTCTGAGGGGTAAGTTGTTTATGTGTTTGTTTCTGGAAAGCTGTATTTTGATATTGTTATTTAAATGCTCTAGGAAAGAAGCAAGCCTGTGGCTGGAAGGTGACTATTTCCGTCAAAAGTTAAGAGGCCAAGAGAATGGAAAACATAGAGCAGCTGTCTCAAAACTCCTCTCGGGTGTTGATGACATTTCAATAAATGGGGTCAAGAATCAAGACAAGCAAGAACCTGAACTGGTAATCGAACCTTTCCCATCACTCTGTTGTACTTGCTTTAAATGCTGTTGAAAACCTTTTAGTGCATGGAAAAAAACTGTAGGTAAAAATAATAAAGTACCTTTTGAGGGATTATTGTCACATATTCTTTTTTATATTTATAGCCTTCTCTAGGAATATTGTACTTCTAATTGTTAAAACAGGGTTGTGTGTCCATAAACTACTTTTTATTTACTAGATACAGGTGAAAAGAAGAGGTATGTAAAGTAAGCTCTTTATATCGACTTAGTTACATTTCCCCTCCAACCTCTTTTCCATTTCATGGTAACTCATTTAGGGAAATGGTAAGTCTCAAATAGAGAACATAGGGCTTAACAGGTAGCAGTCTTAAATTAAGTGGCAGTGAGGTTGATTGGGAAGTTTTTGAAAGAATGTTTTCTAAATGGAAAATTTAGATTTCTGAAAAAGTGACCTGTAACTTTATTTTGAATAGAAAAACTATTTTGGGGTCCTGCAAAAGCTTGATGTGTATATCTGAGGGGACTTCAAAGTGTATGTGGAGCAATTCTGTTGTCTTTTCATTCTATTTTTCCACGAAGTTTTAGAAGCCCCCTCATATCTGTGTCTGTATTTGAGTAAGAGTAGCATTAATAGGTACGACTTAAATAATTTTTGTGTTAAGTGTTGTTGAGTCAATTCTGACTCATAGTGACCTTGTATAGGGTTTCTGAGGATAAGCTGGTGGGTTTGAACTGGCAATCTCTGTGGTTCGTAGTCTAGTGCTGATATTTTTTTACTTACACAGTACAGTGATGACGATGAACTCAATGGAGGGACACAAGGTGACAGACTTCGGGCCCTGAAAAGCAGAAGACAATCAAAAACAAACATTATTCCCCTCACGTGAGTCTGGTTTCCTTTGTGTGGTTAATGTTGTTTAATATGCATGTGAGCTCCTTCATAGTAGAGTATATAGTATGCCACTTTAAAACAATTATCAATATTACTTAAAGCCTTGGGGTACTTGCCTCAGAAAATCTTGGCCATCCACTTTTTATTTACATTCTCTATTGTAACCTCACAAATCATTATAGATAGGAAAACATGCTTTTTCTCCATGGGTTATCTTATGGGCCACTTTCAAGAAAATGACAGCAAATGTGAAACCCAGGTGTCTATACCTGTCAAAATTAGCATTAATTAAATTACTACCATAATTCAGATCATTTATTTTGTTATGATAGACTTTAGACAGTTGTGATATTATGGGTTAGTGGGTTATATTACTTTGGTAAAGCAATGAACTGGACTAAATAGTATGTTTTTGTATTGTATTTTCATTTGCATTATTTTCAAATTATAGAAGAAAGTTAAGCATGGGAATAGGAAGTTTTATAATTGTTGAGTGTGTATATATGTCCACTTGCACTTGCTTGTGTACGTATGCACATTAATTTGGGTGCGGCACTGTGGAACATCAGGGATTGTTAGAAACTAAAAAGAATTAGAAGATATGGGCTTTTGTATTGCACTCTTTTCTAGGCTGTTCTCTAGCAGATGCTCCTGCCTATGCCATCAGATTCCTTCCTCCTATATCCTCCTTTTCTCATTTGTTGTTGTGAAGTGCTGTCAAGTCGGTTCTGACCCATAGCGACTCTGTATAGGGTTTTCAAGGAGCAGCTGGTGAACTTGAACCACCGACCTTGCAGTTCAAAGGGCTTTGCAGTCTGGCGTATTAACCCACAGCGCCACACCAGGGTGCCAGATTTCCAAGTCTTTTTTTGGTGACGAAGATCAAAAGTCAATTTATTTAATAAGCATCTTTTAGTATGGTAAGAAACTAATGATACAATAAACGTTCATGGCAGAAAAGAATCAACCTTTTCCATTAAGAATGTGTATTTCCCTGCAATATGCTCATGATTGAAGTTCTGAAGTAGAATTAAACATAAGGTACATGTCATCAATCAAGAATGATTGCCCTGGGGAGTTCTTAAAAATGCAAAGAAGAGAATGCAAGTTTTTCCATATCAAGCGCCTTACGAATGTAAAGCGTCAACGTTGATTATAGGTATTTATGAAGAAGGTTCTGTGTGGTAGCTTAGTGGGGGCTTCAGTCAGTATGAGTGTTCGGAGAACATTATTTAACACCAGATTCTACTTTAGTTTTTAGAGTCTTGATGATTGTAAAGTCTTGATGATTGTAGTGTCTCCAGATAATCATTCTGGAAATAATTTTAAACATCGATGGGAAAATAGGCAGTACTCCAGAGTAGTGCTTCTCAAACTTCAGTTACCAGGGGAGCTCATTAAAATACAATTGTAATTCAGTGGTCCTGGGGTGTATGTCCAAAGAATATGCATTCTTAACAAATTTCAAGTGTTACTGATGCTGTTAATCGAGGAACCGCACTTTGAATTGTAAGGCCCTATCTGAATCGGGCTGCTAACCTCAGGGACAGCAGTTTGAAACTACCAGCTCTTCTGCAGGAGAAAGAGGAGGCTTTCTGCTCCTGTAAAGATTTACAGCCTTGGAAACCCTGTACAGGATCGCTATGAGTCGGAACTGACTCCATGGCACATAACAATAACAACAACAAACAATGGATGTTTGCTTTTGTGGGATTTTAGTTGTGTCCAGGAGTTTGGTTTTGTTTTTAAGAAGCTGGTATCATCAGTTTATTTCTCAATAATTGGTTGCCTGCTGTCCACAAGACAACTTAGGAGTCGGGGATGGAAATTCTGCGTAGTCAAAAGTTCTTGTTAAATAGGGCATATAGGAACTTTTCTCTAGTCACTCTAAGTCTTACTTTTGTGGATATGTTTTCCAAGGAGTTCAAATCACTTGATGCATTTCTCCAGCAAAGTTGAGGAAATAGATTTGTGGTAATGTAAAAGAAAACAACCATGAAAATTGAAGATTTAAATGTTGGAAGTAGAAGGTGACACTTCAGTGCTATCCATTCACCCAGATATGTGAGGATCCCTGGGAGAAATGTTGAATGAGATCAGTATTGGTTGAATGAAAGCCAGATCATTTTTATTACTGCTCTTTGCCTGTATCCTAATGCTTCTCAGGCCCACCTTAATCCATGCTATGATTTGGTTAAGTTATACCTCATCATACCCACAAAGAGGACAAACAACACTAAGTCTATGCTCTGCCACTCTCTTGATATAAATTAAAGCCAAGAAAAATGATAAAAGTAAAAAATAAATAAATAAATTTAAAAAGTTCAGAATTCCCATTTATTGTAAATTGTAATCATAGTTCTAAAACTCTCTCTTCCTCCCCAGCCCCCCCGTCCCCACTCCCCCACCCCCCACACACCCTGGGCTGCCCAGATCTGTGCAAATAGGTAGTAGGAGCCCAGTTAATACTCCCAGGCCAAACTTTTAAAGAAAAAAGCGAAGTGCTTAAATTTGTCTAAGCTCTTCATTATTTCAGAAATAAAAGTTCAATAGCAGCTTGGGTTGAAATTCCTGGCTCTTAGTTTTGACTCATCTATGGCCCTAGGCAAGTTATTTTTGCTTCTCTGTTGGTAGTTAGCCATATGAAAATGCAAAAAGGAAAATTAGTGAGAAACACACAAGTACTGGTAATTCTGAATAGAAAATAGTACAAAAAAAATCATTCCAGTTATTGGTTATGCTTTCATAAGCAGTCAGTTTGTGTAATAGCTGTTTTCTCAGAGAGGCTGTGTAGTCGTGAGTGTCATAATGATAGTGAATTATATAGCACCAAGAGCGTGATCTGATCTTCAAGATGTGATGGCATGTGTCTTGTCTGTGCCGGAACTGATTTGGTGTCGATTATATTACTAGAGCATTCTGCCTGCCTTTCTTCATATTCATCATTTTTACTGAGTTTGTTAGAGTTAAATGGTACATGAAGAGCGGAGTTGCATCTTAATTGGGAATAAGGTGAAAATATAGATACAATAAGCCTTGAGAATCAATTAAATATCCTTTAATATCAGTGTAGAGGTGAGTGTATCCTTCAGCTATTGAAAAATAATTCTTGTGCTATGAGCTTGATTAGAGGAACAAATCTATCATACAGATATCTGGGCATTCAGACCATTTTGCCTTTAAGGTGACTGTCAAACGAAGTCTCACAAATAAAGATTGGAATAGGCAGGCAATTCTACAATGTTCTTACTTTCCTAGGCCATTCATTCCATTTAAAAATAATATTCAATCCTTGTAATGTTAATACAGATGAGTAGATTTATTTTTGGTTGAAAATTAAGTAAAATGGTACAGGTGTAACTTGGGTGGGGAGGTGAGGTCAGCTTTGGATTTCAAGTCCACCCTTTAGTGTAATCCCATTTTACTATAGAGGGTGCCTGTCTCATAGCTCTGAATGATGACAATGACAAGGACAGTAGTGAAAATGGCATAGTAAACCAAATTAGTACTATCCAACTGGATCATACCAATAATTTGCACAAAGCAGATGCTTAGTGTAGAGCCTTTTGTGTTTTTGTTATGAATATGTCCAGGTGGCCCTTTGAAAGTATAGTGTTATTGTTGTTAAGTGTTGTCGAGTTGATTCTGATCCATAGTGACCCTGTTTAGGGTGTCTGAGAAGCAGCTGATGAGCTTGAACCACCGATCCTTGCAGTTCAGATGGCTTTGCAGTCTGGCGCATTAACCCACAATGCCATGCCAGGTCTCCTTGAAAGTATATTTGTTGTTGTTATGTGCTGTGGAGTCAATTCTGACTCACAGCGACCCTGTACAGGGTTTCTGAGGCTGTAAATCTTTACAGGAACAGAAAGCCTCATTTTTTCTCCTGTGGAACAGCTGGTAGTTTCGAACTGCTGACTGTGAGATTAGCATAGTAGTAGCTGGATGGAATTACTAGCCCTCCCAACAGGAGGATGTTTCCTTTCTCATTGCTAGAAATAAAAGACCAATACTTTAAGAAACATAAGCTGAAAGTCAACTAGTATATTCATTTATTATTGTGCCTCCAGGACTTAGGTTTGGTTTTATTACCTTGTCTTTGTGGTTTGCGTTAGTTTTCTGTGAGTGCACATCTTGTGGTTTTTGAAGGATCGCAATTATGTAACTATGTTTTTCTTTCAGTATCATAAGATAAATTACCAAGGGACAGTTGTTCAGCCAGAATTTGGGTCTGACCTTATTTACTAAATGTTAGACCGCTTCAGATTAAAGACCACATTTTCCTCCCCACCAACATAAAATGGCAAAAGTCCATCCTCATTTCTCGCCCCTTTGAGCCTACTTGTTTAGAGTCTAAAATTCACATGTGGCTTACTTTATTTACTTATTTATTTATATTATTATTTTGGCTTCCCAATTTGAACATCTTTTGTTTCCCCTCATCCCTTTCCAGATGTCCCATAGCTGTGCTGACCTCTGCACTGTGTAGTGTTGTCATCTGGTGGATTGTTTGTGACTACATTCTTCCCATCCTGCTATTCTGTCTCGATGGTTTCAGAACACAGTAGCCCTCAGGACCTTTGACAAATAGCTGCTGTGTAAGTGTCCATTCCATTTCTCTACTATTGCTTACTTCTCGTGTCCAGCATGTTTCTCATGATGCGTGTTTTCTCCGTATCAACTCTCCAAGCTTTGTGGTTTGACTGTTTCAAAAATTCTTCTTCTGAATCTTTTCAATTAATAGAAAGGTGGTGGGGAGGGAGGGCTGATCCATACGGGGGTTGCTAAAAAGAACACAGTATTTAAGTTGCACTTATTTTTGCAGATATCTTAAAATAGCAGTTTGTAAATGAAGACAATAGATTCCTCTATTAGAAATATTTAGTTAATTCTGGGTAATGTGGGTGGTTTTCTTTCAGTCAGTTTCCTATACAACTTTCCTTTAGTTTTCTACATCTTGAGTGTGCCTTCCCCAGCCTAGCAAAAATAAC